GGGGGGGGGGGGGGGGGGGGGGGCGTACTACAACTTATTCATCTTTGGAATCCCAATGATAAATACTCAAATATTTTTTAAATATATATGGGTAAAATTATCTAAGATCCACCCAGTTGGCCAGAAAACTAGATTTTCCTTCTTTGTTAAGTCTCATATCCCATCAGTGACAAAGCCTGTCAATCCTTTCCAGATTTTGGACTGGTTTCTCTGCTTTCAGTCTCATTTCCACTCAGTCTATCCTTTACATTCCTACAATAATGAACTTAACATATTCATTTGAAACATACTAACTTTGGATCAGAGGTCATATGATTTACTCAAAATCTGTTTATAAAGTAGAAGGCAGTTTAAACACCTTAGCAGAAAAAGAATTTGGTGGATTCTATATTCACCATTAAGCTATTTAAGTAATCGATGCTATCAGGTAACACATAAGAGATATTCTTTAACGTCCTTTATAGTACAGTTTTTGTAAAGTAAAATCATCAATTTAAATGTAAAGTCTATGATAATCCAATCTAAAAAATGATTCTGACAAACAATTCCAACTCAGAGAAAATAAAAAAAGAACCATTTATCAGATCTTTATTTTTAAGGGCAATCAGCCAAACTAAACATTTTAAATTTGGACTCCACCAACTCTCATCCTCATATAGATTCAATTTGATATATCAATCAACAAGAATTTGAAGGATTTTCAAGTGAATATTTGGTCTTAATTATTATAAGCAAATTTCAGTCATGAAGGCTGGAAAAGTTGTGGCCAATGTAAACCACAAATTTTTTGTGCTACTTAAGATTATCAGTCTTCCACTGAAGTCATACTTACCAAAACCATGTGGGCTATCAGATTGCCCCCAAGAGCTCCAAAAGTATAATATACAAGGGCCTGTGAAAGAGCAAAAGATGCTTAATTGAACATTGGTCTAGATCTACTAAATTCAAATTGTAATATACAATAAAGTTTTAATAGTATTACCTTTGCCTGACTTGAATTAACACCAAGTCCAGAGGCATAGAGAAAGCCAAGAGCCTGAAATAAAATGATAAAAGTAAGAATTCTTCCTCTGATGAAAGTTTATCCAAGACAGACACAGTTTTATGCACTATGAAAAGATGTAAGACTCTTTAAATGCTAAAAGATTTGGGTGCAAGTATGCACAACTGTGGAATTAAAGAGCCTCAGACATGCATTCAGGGTTTTATAAATTACACAATTAAATTTAAACAAGTCGAAAAGTTTAGCTTGAAGATTAAAGACAATTTAATAAAATATTAATTAGAAAGACAAAGAACACACTTAAAAATAATTTTTACTTCATCTTTATGAACAGCCATTATGAAGACAAAACAACTTCCATATCATTACATCAACATATTTCTCCATCTATGTAGAGTAGGATACACTATGAATAAGGACAAGAGATTACTAAGATAAATTATCCCAGGAATAAAAAGAGGAATCAAAGAGTCAGGCTGAAGAGATCAAGGGAGAAAGGTCATTTTGCAATGCAAGAGCACACATAATTTTCTAAAAAAAAACAACCAAACAATGTATTGATAAAGTTCTACCCTTTGCCCTCTGTGGATCATTCTAGATGACAAAGTATAAGCTAAGGTTACAAATGCAGGTGTGGCAGCAACTGCTAGTGTTCATCAAAGTCCAGGAGCTCAGAGGAGCTGAAATGTAAAGACATTTCCCAGCCCCCCTTGAAGTTAGGTAGGACCTTATGCCTAAGATGTGGCTGGAAGGGATATAAGGCATTTTAGGCCTGGCCCTTAAAAACATCCCAGAGAATCCTCCCATCTTTCTTTTCCCTTCATGCTGGCTTGGAAGCCCTGTGTTCCAGACGAAGTAGCTACATGATACAAGTAGCCCATGACTGGGATCACCATTTGAAAGAGATTAATGCAAGCAGAAGAACCGCATCAAGCCTGGCATGAGCAAGAAATAACTCTTTGTAGTGTTAAGCCACTGTAATTTGGGGAGTTTTGTTTGTTGCTTTAGGTAGAATTAACTATCATGGAGAGAGTGATTTGCAATGTATAAAGTGCTATGGCATTGTAACAACAACAACAACAACAACATCAACATCATCATCATCATCATCCTCACCACCATCATCATCACCATCATCACCACCATCATCATCATCATCACCATCATCATCATCATCATCACCATCATCCTAATAGGGAAAAGATGCCTTCTAAAGTAAAACCATTCTTTAGAGCAGAATGCCTCTGAAGATAAAGAATATATGTGTGAATTTTATATAAACTGATTTATGCAAAGAGAAAAAAGTTTTGAAAACAAAGGAGAATTAAGATATAATCTGTTTATAAAATAAAACTGAGAATATTAAAGGGCTGCAGACTTGCTAAGTATTCAATTCTATACAAAATTATGGTTATGATTCCTGTTATTATTTAAATAGTCTGAAAACAGACTTTCTCTGTGATTAGAAATTTTGTTCATCTTTAATCATATCCCATAGCTTGAATAAACCTGAATTACTGAAGGCATTTAAAATAAATGTGGTGGCCCCCTAAATCCATGTGTCAATCTTAGCGTTACTAATGGGGAAACAACCAGATATGATGTCATCAACTAATGTGATGTAATGTAGAATACAGAACATCCCCTCTAGTCAAAAATATTTTACTTGAGTTCTTTAGCCTTTATCTGTGACGTTCTGTTTACAGGAAATACAGGTGATGGAGAAACAAACTAAAGGACACCAGGAAGAAGCAAACAAATAGAAGTAGGACATTCTGCAGAAAAACTGGCCCTGTCTCTAACACAGGAAGAAAAAGGCAGGAGCTATACTAGAAATAACAATCAAATATAAGGTGTAGTCCTGGACTGGATACTGGTTTGAACAAAACAGATATAAAGAAAAGTTTGTGATTAAACAGCATATGAATATGGTGTGGGTACTATATGATGTAAAAATTTGCTGGAATGGAAAGGTGAAGGTTGTTGTTTGAAGTTATGGAACAGTGTGCAACAGCATCTCATTTTAACAAAAAATTCCTATGTATATATACATAAAGAGAAAGGTCTATAAGGGTAATATGTTGCATGCACCAACATATTACCACTGCTCATATCTGCGTGGTACATATGTGATGTTTACTTTCTTAGTTTTGTTAGTTTGTATTTCTAGTTTCCTATAATGGACACGTACTGTTTCTGTAATAAAATCTATTTTTTAAAAAGCACAACGATTAAAGAGAGATGCAGCCCCCTGAACACTGAAAAAAAATGCAATGGTGAGTAATTTCAGATAAAAAAATAATTACCTTCATATTTCATTCTCTACATATCTAATTTGGAAAACTACAAGTGTAACTTTGGCAAGAAACAACTGCAAGACTGACTTTACTGAAGGTAAATGTTCTCAGACTAAGGAAAAAGACTATTCAAGAAGACTGGTAAAATAATCTGCCACAAAATTAATATTTAAGGATATTTTATCTTCTAATCTTACTCGTTAAAAAAAAGTCAGGGCATAGAGAGTAGAGTGCTGTTAAAATTAAGAAGTGCTGTTTGCAGAGGATTCTCCACTAAAAGTGCACTTACAGTTTGTCCTTTGGGAGAGCCTTCCTCAGTCAGTTTCTCAAACATCTCTTTAGCTGCCTGGATATTCTGTGTCAGGTAGTCGCCAAACAAAAGAGCATATGACACTCTCTCCAGGGCCTTGGTATGGTTCATGCCTGCTGCCTTTTGAAGATACCGGTATGCTCTTTAATGTAAAAAATTAAGAAACCAATTAGTAATGTTTTGGAACTGCCATTAAACATTTTTTTAAGATCTACTAAAATGTAGCATAAATAATTTCCATATGCTATAGAATCCCCCTATGTTATCTTATTTCTACTAAATAATTAAATATGTAGAAAACATCTGGCTATTTTGTTTTTACATAAGGTACCAGTTCTCCCTGTTACCCTAATATCTTGGAATAGTCTAATTACACTAATAGTAATTTTACACTATTAGTAATTACTAATAGTAATTTTAAAAACTATTTAAAAAGTTAGCTAGATTTACAATAAGAGAACTCTAATATGATGATGTCCAGTAAATAATCCAATAATAACTGTTGCAATTTTCTTTTTAAATCTTTGTAGACTATAACAAAAGCCAACTGAAATTAAAATGACATAAATGTTAGAAGACAATCACTTGTTTTATGTTCTTCCAAGTGCAAATTTCTAAACTCTAGTCAAAAATTACAAAGCAAAAACAAAAAACAAACACCACACTTGAGAATTCCTTTTGTTTGCTTTATGTCATTTTGAATTCTGAATAGTATATGCATTCTTGGTTCTTAGAAACTACTACAACTTTAGTCAATTATTTCCGTTTTACTCACTGTTCATTCTTCTGATTAGTATTTATAAACATTTTATTCTAACAAGCAAAAATCTGATAAGAGCAATGACACTAATGCCCATAAATCACATTAAGTTTTCTTGTAATGACACTTAGGAAATCCTGTCTCTCAGTACAGTTTTTAAAAAAAATAAGTACCTGGCTATTTATTTCAGTAACGACCTATCTTGGGGGAAAAATGAACTTGGCAGTGCTACCTACTCTCTTTTTTGGCTTTTCTTATTGCTTCCATTGAGGATTTTCATTCCAGTCTGATACATCATTTCTGCTTCCTGCATTTGCCGTCTTTTAGCAGCCTCTTCTTCAGCTAAAAACAAAATGTCAGGTACATTTATATGGATTTTAATTCTATACCAATTATTTATCAAACATCAATATTTATTCTTTCTTTTGCGTAGCCATACCAGCACGATAAATCATCTTCCACTATTTCTGTATATGACTCTGAAAACTCTTGGTTTTAAGTATGGCCTTTACTTGACACAGTCAAGACTTCTAAAACAAAATATAAAAATCATTGAAATCACTTTCTTTTAGAGAAAGCAATACCAAGTTGCCTTTGAAGGGTACTTTTCCGTTAGAAATGCTAACATTTTTTATATAATTCAATTAAAATTTCAGACTAAATGCCAAGGACAGCTAAAATAAGGACAGAAGGACAGTAGTTGGAAAAATACTGTTGTAGTCAAAGGACACTTTAGCCCTATTTGAAATGCTATGTATCATTATAAGAAGACAGTAATTTATTAATTACACAATAAAAGTTAATAAAAAATGGATTTTTATAAAATACACATCCTGATTTAATGTTCAGCCTCACTAATATTTTCATACTCATTGATATAACACTGAAAATGACAGAATCATAGATATTTTCAAAAGTTATTTTGCTACTGTAATACAGCATTTTTAATAGAAATCTAGAACTCATCAAAAGATATAAATATTTCATTAGGACTAATATTTATAAAAGCAGAAGTGAATTCCTCTTATTAAAAAATCTGATGTATTAAACTAGAGTACCCAGTCATACTAGTCTATGTCCAAAGATGAATTATATTTGATGTTATCTTCTAGGAATGCCCAAATATTCTATCAGAGCCATTATTTTGAAAATGTTAATTGCTATTAAAGGGGATATATTCATTTATTAGAAAGTTTTTCCTGAAAACACAGCTTGCTAGTAGAGGTCAGCCCCTTTATACTGAGATTCAACTCAGGGCGGTTAAATATATTTGTCAAATGTTACCTTAGCACAGCATGTTTCACTCAAAGTGTTTTAAAAAGGTATTATTTATTTTTCTTCTAATCACTATTAACCTTCACCATAACGGTCTGTTTCCTTTATTGCCAAAAAATGTTTTATGTTAATTAATTTAGCAGCCTGCCTGAAGGATTTACGGAATAACCTGTGCACGCCAATGGAAAATCACCTCTAAAAAAGACATGAGTGCGATAAGCTGCCTGAGCGACAGCCTGGAAATAAAAGTCACCACATGCTTCCTTTTCTTAAGTCCATTCTTTAGGGCTACAAACACATCATCAATACTGGCCATTTCTGACCAAGGTGGTAAAGGATGGCTAGAAAAAGGCTTTAAAAATGTTACCCTATACGCAGAGCAATGTGGACGTGTCTCCTACTAAGCAATACTCACTTTCACAGAAGCCCCACTTTTCATCTGCCTTGTAGTCATAGGTTGTAGCACACCACAGTCTGCCATCTTCCCTCCCGTCTGATGTACATTCATCATATTCCTTATCCAGAAAAAGAAAAGGGAAGTGGCAGGGTTCCCCATGTGCTGTGCCTTCAATGGCGGTCAAAACTGGAAAGACAAGAAACCAAAATCTAAACATGAACACTACCTCTGGTATTAATGGATTCAATGCTGTCAATTTCAGCTATTAGGATATTAAGGCAAAGATACCTGATGTATGATTTGTAATGGGAAACATAAAAGGGCCAGCACTGATTTTGATTAGGGAAGACTTGAGATTAAGTCACTTTAGTAAACATGGCCAGCTGACTACTCAGCATCTATATCTAGCTTATAATTTCTGAGGTTCTTGAGATATATATATATAACCTTAGAATGTTAAGTTTATTGTAAAACTCCTGCCCAACAAGTGAGCAAAAGATGAAATGCAACTGGATCAGTTCCACTGCTCAGTACAACTTGCCCTTTTTTTCTGAATGCTGTAAGTCAATTTCTTTAATAATACAAAGTTATACAGGGAAAATGCTCCCCCAGGCAAAGTTTATCACTCACATACTGGTCTGTGATCCCACAGCATTTTATGAGAGTACTTATCATATGTACCAAGGTTATTTCTTTACCATAATCTAGCTCCCACTAGACTTTGAGCTTGTTAAGGGTATAGATCATATCTTTGATTTAACTAATTATTCTATAAATTCTTTCCCAGTATCTCTTAGGTGCGGGAATTATGCTGGGTGCTGGAAATGAGGTGGAGCAGAGGTCTCTGCTACACAGAACTTACTGCCTAGCGAGGAAGAGAGACATTCAGCAGAAGTGTGATGTATGTTTCAGACAAGAAAGCCTCTCCTGCTGGGAGCTGAGGTTTTAATTAAACCTCAAGGATGTGCAGGAGTAGGAGTGGATGAAAGGTTGTGGGTAGAAGTACTGCAGATAGAGGAAACAGCATGTGTTAAGAATCAAATGGTTGGCAAAAGTGGCAAGAGAAGAGGCTAAAGCAGCATGCAGAAGCCCGACTGGGGAGATCCTAATAAGTTTTAATAAGGAGTTTGGACTTTTATCCTGAGAACAATGGAAATTCACTGAAGAATTTTAAGTAGGGGTGACATACTCATACAGGTTGAGTACTCCTTACCTGAAACGCTTGAGACTAGAATTGTTTCAGATTTCAAATTTGTTTGGATTTTGGAATATCTATATTATACTTACCAGTTCAACATCTCTAATCCAAAAATCTGAAATCCCACATGCTCCAATGAGCATTTCTTTTGAGTGTCACGTCGATGTTCAACAAGTTTTGCATTTTGGAACATTCCAGATTTTTGGATTAGGAATACTCAACCATACTTACATTTTATTAAGAGAGTGGAGAAAAAAATGGAGAGAAGCAAGGCTGAATACAAGGTGATCAGTTTAAAGATTGTGACGGCAGTCTAATACAGAGGCAACGGTAGCCTCAAGAGGGCAATGAAGTATGAAAGATGTGGATACACTCAAGTGATACTGAGGGGGTAGATATGGAATCACTCACTAGATGTACGGATGAGAGGAAAGATGAGTCAAGAAAGACTCCCAGGTATTAGGCTTCAGGTGTGGATAGACGGTTGCCCTTACTAAGATAGAGAACACTAAAAGAGGAGTAGGTTACTGGGTAGGGATGATATGGATCAGAAGAAAGACAAATTAAGCATTGATCCTGCTACATTCCAGGTGCCTATAAAGTCAAACAAACAAGTGAAGATGTGTCAGATATCTTTTTGGCTGTAGCTAAAGAGAAAATTCTACAGTATATAGATAGCACTCGAAGTCAAGGGTATACATAAGAATGCTGAGGGAGAGGTATACATGAAGACCAGAGGTCCAGGACTAAGCCTAGAACCACAAATCGTAGACACATGTCAACTGCCACTCGTCATCTTTACATGGAGAACATAATTGGGCAGCAAAGCTCAAGGACGAAGAGTATAAGTTGTGGAATCAGAACACCTGATGCAAATCCTACCACTTATTAGCTGTGCATTCAAATTATTTAATCTCTTATCTATCAAATTATTTGGAGGTAACTTCCTTATCTCCAAATAGGGATAACTGTCTTTACTGCATAGGGCTACTTGTGAAGACCGACAGAGACCATACGTGTAAAGGACCCATCATAGTGCCTATCACTTTAGGTAATAAGAGTTCAAGAGATGACAGCTGCTATTGTTATTACTAGCATCCCTGTTCTGAAAGGCTAGACAGTAGCACTTCTCTCCAACTTAAAAAAACCAAAAAAACAAAAAAAACAGATCATAAGATACTAATTTTAAAAATATTTTCAGTAAGTTATGAGTGACAAAATGAATTTCAAATTGTTTAACACCAGGTAAATGTCATTCATTACTCTGGTAATCACTAATCAGGGGCAAATAACTTCACCTTTGATCTGTCCATGTTTTAAAGAAATGATCTTTAATGCAATGTATAGGCAAAGCATCCTTTAGTAACAACCTCAGAAGAGTTATTCTGATTACAGAATTTGAAATGGACATCTCTATGCACTGCAACTAGATGCAAATCTGCTTTGAAAGACAGTGTCTGTAGAACAATGGCTTGTAAACCTGAATTTCAAATTAAATAACATATGATGGTTTAAAGAATATTTAATTTTTCTGTGATAATAGAAATCTTTGTCTTAAAAACAAATATCATAGGAATTCTATTTGTCAAACTTATACTTTCTAAATGTTTCAAATATACAAGAGAATTCTTTCATGTGATGAAACTATACAGCGGAAAAGAAACTGGAGAAAAACCAAAGGTTTTAATCTGCTGATTCTGCACTAACATAAGCAGGAACAATCCCCAGGATGCACCTGCTTCATCAAGTTAGTCAAAACTGAAACTTGTCAAAATAATGCATTCATTTGTGAGTTACTAGAAAGAAAATTTGTATCTCTCACTACATTCTCCAAGAAAAATCAAAATATGAAACTTACTAACTTGTTTGTTTTAAAATTTTCCAAAAGTTACTGAGATTTCCTAGTTTCAATCAATTATATGAAGTAGAAATTCCTCAAAATGGTGTTAATTTCAATTACTTTTCTTTCCATGGAGAAATTCTGCAATAATTTCTAAGCTAACCTTTTGAAAACCTCCACAAGAACAGTACCAATTTTAAAAACAAGGTAATCACTGTGCTGGTATAATGAAACTGACTGGTTATGCAATTTAAATCAGTGATAGCCAGGAATCACATCTGACACTTTTAAAATGAAAGGAGGAAAATGTGCCATTAAGTAAATTCTGAAGCTTCATGTAAAAATTCACATTTTCTAGATAAGAAATCATATTTTGGCTCTACAATGACATAAGTATTATCATAATCTATCTAGATCTGAAGAGTAAGATATTTAATTTATGGTAAATAGGAACTTACTGTAATAATGAACAGACTGCTTTACGTGAGGGTCTTCAAAAAGTTCACGGAAAGATTCGTATTGTCCTTTAACTCTATTTTTCCATGAACTTTTTGAAGTATCCTCATAACTAGTAGAAATCTGCTCTTACAAATTCAATTAAAATTGCTTAAGAAAGCTAGAAAAATAAAAAACAAAGAGCAAAATGAAAACATTCAGTGTTGGCCAGAGCATGGATAAATGGACACTTTCACACTGTTGCCAGGAGTATAAATTAGTACAACTCCTTAAAGAGGGGCATTTGGTAATAGCTATTAAAATTTAAAAGGTCCTCATCTTTACATTTAGCTTTTCTACTTCTAGGACGTTTACTTGCAGAAATGCTCTCACAAATATACAAACAGATCACATGCACAATACTTGTGTAGTATTATAATCTTAAAAACAAAAAGAACTTTGAGTCTATTGATAAAATTAGTTAAATAATTTATGATGCAGCCATTAAACAGAAATCTGGGCATCACTGACACAGATAGATTAAAGGTTACTATAGAGTCCTGTAGAAAGGGAAGAGATCCAAAGGCTGAATCCTGCGGCAAGCTCATGTTTCAAAAGCAGGCCAATATAAGGAACCAGCAGCCAGGTGAAGAAAGCATCTTCAGAGAAAGAAACAAATACTGGTGAGGGGTCATTAAAATGAGGACCAAGAACTGAGCAGGCATTCAGCAATTAGAATGTGATTGGTGGAGAACAGTACATTTAGTGGTCTGGAGGGGGCTCCAGCCTTGCTGGAGTCAGATTATAGAATGGAAAGAGAAGAGGTGAAATCAGTAATTATACACAACTTTTTCAAAGAATTATTCTATAAAGGGGAGTGAAGAGTGGGGTGGTAGCTGGGGAGGAACTTGAGCACAGACGTTTTTGTTTTTAACGTATAAGATATTACAGCTTGTTTCAATATTAAAGGAAAGAATCCAAAGAGAAAAATGTAAATGTGGCTAGAATGTTGTTATATATTGTCTTCAGAATACAAATGCATCTCTTCCTCATTTTTCATTGAAAAATTAAAACAAAATTCAAAAAGTTAACATCGTGATCTATACATATAAACACAAAGAATTTAACTTTATAAATTTCTCAAAGAACTTTTGTAGTGCCATTAATGATTGATATCGTATCTGCAAGTTTAGATGGGTGTTCTGTTAAATAAGAAAATAACTATTTAATCATGCTGCTTGTCTAAAGCAATCTTGTACTTCCAAACACAGAATAAAAGTAGCATTTTAATCAAATATATTTGCAGTCAAAGACAGTTGAAAAACAAGGATTTAATGTTAAAAAGCTACCAACCTCAAGACAACTGTCATAGTGTTCACCAATTTTAGTAAACACCAGATGAAATCCCAACCAACCAACCAATTGTCACCAAAAAAAAATCTCCAAAGTACTAAAAACAAAGCATCGGTATAGATGATTTAATGTAAACCATACTTGATTTAAGTAAACAATGTAGGCCAAATAAAGAGGTATTCACTGTTGCCCAGGAACATGCTATAGTAATATACTGAAGAGAATACCAATGTTATATTTGATACAATCAGATTGCATCCACCAAAAGTTGGGAATTGCTAAATACAGGTGAGAAACTACGTTTATAAACATGTAAACACACACACACACACACACACACACACACACACACACACACTA